TTTTTTTTTTTTAAATCCTTTTTTTTTTTTTTTTATTAGAAGACAAATTCTTTTTTTTTTTTTTTTTTTTTTTTTTAGAAATGTACCTTTTAGCTCTACTCCGCCATGTTTCAGCTCCAGTTGCGTCACCGTTTTGATCGGAAGCCAATCTGGGTACGAGCATGAGGGGAAATTACAAGAGATGCACTCTGTGTTTTATTTATTTATTATGTCTCAGAGATCAGCAATAAAATACTGTAGCTCCCTTTCCAATTTAGATTGGTAAATTTAGTGAATTTCAGTTTGAAATTTGTGAATATTTAGGGCTTGCCGTTGGAGGGGAAGAAAAGTGCAGGCCTTGGTTTTAAAATAAACATAAGATGGTTTTGGGCTGATTCTATCACTCTCATCTTGCGTATCTCAGCTGCACATCTGCCTGTAAACTGCAAGGATGAGAGGATTTAATCTTCCAGCAGATGTCAGTGTTCCAAGTCATAAATTCGTCCAAAACCTTAATGAGGTGAACTTGGAACAAATTGTGAACCTACTGTTTTTTTTTTCCCTCCCACTTGTCCTGTTTTATTATTTATGTTGGTGTTATATTTGATTTGAGCAACTAGCTGGAGTTGAATGTTGACTGAAATTTTTGGCTCAGTTTCATTTCACCAACTTGCCACATTTTCAAATTCAGATTGAAAAATACTTTAATCCCAAAGGAAAATTAAATGAATAAACAAACGAACCCTCCATGTGCGTATGAGTGCAGAGCCCTGAAGCTGCAGGCTAACCCCTCATTCTCCACCTTCTAATGATATTTATAGTGTCAGGTGTTTCCATCTTCACCCAATCCGCACCTTACAGGACCTTTTACTATCTTAGAGACCATACAGTTTAAGTGAAGCAGCATATAAGCTCCACTGAGCTGACTGACAGTCTGTGCCAAGGGTAAGTTTGGTGGGATTACTCTGTTCCCAGACCAAGATACAACATAAGCCTCTTCAAATGTAAACACAAGTTATTTTTTCCTTGAGGATGTAAAATAAACCTGAGCACATTTTTATCTCACAGCATAGAATCTTACAAGTAGCTAAAAGGTTCCATAGGTTCCAAGGTTCGCCTTAGTTTGTTTTGTCGCTTACGCCAGTAGTTTGCTAAGTTGGGGCTGAGATTTCACTTGGGTTCACTAATATGTCACTCTTAAGACCTGCCTCAGAAATACTTGAATGGTAAAAAAAAATTAAGAAAGCCTTTTCCTTTTAGAAATGAATAAGATTTTGTTGCTTGCTCTCAGTAGTGACTTTCTTTTTGCTACCTTTTCATTAAGGTAGGATTCTCCTAGCTGAGCCATGGATCTCTGTAGCTCCTCCAATGTAGCCATAGAGTTACTGATTGCGTTTCTGGTCATTTTTCACATTGTCTGCCCTTCAGTTGAGGTGGCCACACATATGCCTTTGCACATTTGGAGTTGTGGCATACTAGCTCTTATTTTGATGGGTTAAAGCTTCCTTCAACTTGACAATTATTAAAAGTGTTGGTCTACTAAATAAAACACCTGAAGGTACAGTACAGTTTATGGTTGTATCATAACGAATTGCGCAAAAGCTTGAGAGAGTGAATGCTTTTGCAGTGACTATATTTTCCTCAATAGATGCTGTTATTCTGAAGGAGTCTCTTCTCCGTTTCCGCTGGTGTTACTGAGCCTGTTTCACGCATGCGTGCTGGGCTTTAGAGCATTAATTCTGAGTTAGATCGGAAACGGACTCCCCGAGTGGGCTTTGCCTCATTTTCAGCTGAGAAAATTTAGATTTTGTTTGTTGCATTCTTGTAAAGAGAAAAGTAATTTTTTTTCAGACTCTCAGTGCGCCCATCCATCACCGGAGCTGCACCGACACTCTTTCCACTGTGGTCTGTCATCCTGCAGACTCGCAGCTTCAGCTGACCCGTCACGTCACGTCAAGATCCGGAGATAAACTTCTGTTTGCCAACAAGTTCTGATGTGGCAAGCAAACTGCAGACGGATGCATAATATAGCAGACTGGATTTCAGGTGATTTGTCTTTTATTTTAAACTATAGTAGGATAAATATTCTGCGATTTATACAATATTTCGATTGAATGAAAAGCGCATCTGTTAATTTAGTACGGCTAACAACAAGAACAGTGAACTAAAGTGAGTTTTCTTTTTTTTTTTTCGAAATTATGAATGAAAGATGGGAAGCATGGAGGCATGATGCTGTGCAGGCGCGTGTACCCATCAGCTGGCACTACACGTGACACAAACATAGCAGCTTGTCTGACCTCACAGGAACAAGCAGTGCTGAGCTGTCATTTTATCCCAAAATCATTACTCGTTTCTTGCACTCTTCCCTCCCACTTTAAAGCTCAATGAAAAACATATCTATTGTAAAAAAACAAAACAAAACAAAGTCAAACATGATTAAATAGTTACATTTCCCTCCTTGTTCTGGGACACAGGTACAGTGATGGGAGGCTGCGTGGGGAGGAGCAGGATGGATGGACCAGGGAGTGCCCATGGCTCCACAAGGACTAAAAAACGTGGAGGTAAGAAGCTGGAACACATTCAAATGCTTTATTTACAGTGATGTGGAGCCTGGGATAATGCTCTTCCTAATGCATAATTAATTCTGCTGGATGAGGTTGTAACTAAGATAGAATATATGTCTGCATTATGGTGAAGAAGGGCTTCTCAGATCTAGAGAATCTTCTTATGTTGCTGGAACTATTATTATACTTGACTTCAATCGTTAACATTCAGTTCATGGACTGAGATAAAATAAAAAAATTTCAATAAGATATTTGACATGGGTGTGGTCCGTAGTTTATGATTCACTTGGCTTTTTCATTCTTAGATCTTATATGGAGGAAGGCCTGAATGATTTAGCACTAGCTGAACTGTATGAAAATAAAATAAATTCCAGTAGAATAAAAGGTTAGCTTAAGTATTTGACAGTTTTTGGCATTAAAACCTTTTGCCAGAACAATTTACCTCAGTTGTTAGCAGAGGATAAATAGCAATAGTGGTATTAATGCCTTTTAACCTATGTTTGTTTTTATGGATCAGTTTTCAAAATGTGTTAAACACTAAGCCATTAGTACTCAGATTTGTGTAACAAATGCCACCTTAGTAATAAGTTATATTAAGCGAATCTTTACACAAACCCATGTATTAAAATTAGGTTGTTTTTTTTATCTATTTACTCTGTACATTTGGTTGAAGGTTGCAGTTCAAATATGCTGTTTTTTTCTTACTTATAAGTTTAATTTTTTTGCCTCCAGGTTAGAAAAATAAAAAAAAATATTGTCCTCCAAAGTTAGAAGTTTTCACTGACCTCAAACATCGACCTAAAAATCCAACATGGCTGCTGCAGTTAAAACGTACTTCTAACTGCAAACAAATAAAATGAATAAAATGTATTCAAAAATGTACATTTTATGAATATAGTCTAAAATGCTGTGAAAGGAATTGTAATTAGCTTATTTTTTGTCATTTTAGTCAGCCAAACATATAAGCTAGCAGAGTCCGATGATTTTCTGACTTGCTGCTGGAGCAGAGTTATGATGGTACATCAGTTTCCCAACTTCAGAAGTATATGAAACACAGCATTACATTTTATGTTTTCTTTGTGAGTTATTTTTGAGTGATGCAGAAATGAACCTGTTTCAATGACAACAAATGTATTTTGCTGTTTGAACTCATTATCCCTACATCACAGTTTATGCGTTGTTCATTGATTTATAAGATAAATCAATGGTTCTAACATTTCCTTAGCATACCACTAATGAGAGTCCTAGTGTTACTTGTACTGTAGTTTGAAAACCACTGGAAAACATGTTTATTTGTTGTAATTCTTATGTCAAAGGTTGTTTTTGGGTGCCAACCAAGCACAATACTCAAATTCTTGCTTTTTGATCTTGTGCAACTTGATTATTGTGCTCAGATTTCCTTTTCATTTTTTGCTACCGTACAGCTGAAAGATGAATCAGTAATATTTTAATAAATCTTTGTGAATTATTTAATATTTTAATACCTCCTAGAAATCAAATATCTAGAGCTGCACAATATATCACATTGCAGCTGATTGTGCAATATTGCAATTGCAAAGGACTGCTTAAATGCAGTACTGGCTTGAATATATTTCAACTTTCTGCATATTAATGATGTATTTGACGTCTTGGACAGACACTATCAGCCCCTCATGCCAACAGCTGATGTCTGTTGTTAGTGGCTGAGATTTCAAAGCTGGTGACTAAATAAAATAGCATTACGGTGCGTATTTTCCTTATGTGGTGCAGATCTACATGTAAACATCACTCAGAGCCACAGAACCTTTTGAAAACGTCATCACACTTTTAACATTCGTGCCGCTCTTCTTAACAGTTAGTGTGACGAGGTCTTTTCATCCCGCTGCTGCTTGGAGGTCATTTTCAGTCTGCAGATATCTCACGAACCTCTTAAGCCTTATCTTTTAGTCCTGTATCTAATCTGTACCGATGACCTGACAGATTATTTCGACACTCGTTAATCTAGTATTTTTGAAATATCAACCTATGTGGCGGGGAAGATGGACATGCGGGACACGTTTAACTGCAATAGCAGCAGAGGATTTTCCCACTCTCTGTCCGAATTGTATGTTAAAATGGTATTTGCATGTCAGGCTTTCTTGAATTGATTTATCAACTTGAATTTTGGCCAGATGTTGATACACACGCTGTGTGATGGACCACCTCGCTGTCCTTTCTGTGAATGAAGCCACTTGGAGAAATTCTGGGTAGCACAACATCTTTTTCTTCCAGCAGACTGGAGTTTATAGCTTGCTAATAGCTTTAGTATGTTGCCTTGGGTATTTCCATCCTGTCTTTAAATAGAGCTCAGGGGATTAGGCCTCTTGTGTAAAGGTAAAGCAGCTACCCACTTGTGAGGACACAAGACTCTTTCTCCAAATACACTGAAGGAGTTTCAATTAATTGCTCACCTGGTATTTATGGGGTCATGTGTTTTTATTAGAAGTGTTAAAACAGGAGAAGGTGGCGACATTTTTAAGCAACTGGAGACGTGTACCTGCAGGCAAATGAGCTCTGAATCTCAGTTGGCTCTTTGAGATGAACTAGATCAGGCGGATCAGCATTATTCGGCAGACGCAGAGGGGATTCTCCACCTTCTTTGAGGTCAAGCTCCGTGGCTCATTTTGTGAAGTTTTTGATGAACAGAAGCTTGATTCTCAGCAAAGCGCAGACAAAACACACAGCAATGGGAGTTCCTAACTCCAGGGAATGCAACTACTATCATGCTCCAAATGCACCCTTAAAGATTTTGCTCAGAAGTAAGTACGGATTATTTTATCTTCGGGTCAGTCCGGCCAGTGAGCCATGTGTGATTGTTGCTGCTGCTTTTGGGTTCAGTTTTATAGGAAGCCTCATTGGTTTGTTGTGTGTTTTTCGTATGTTCCATACATTAAAACACACCGATGCACGAATCTGACTTTTCCTTACAGATTTCCAGTTTCCTTTGAGGTTTTGCCTCATGTCTCTCGTTTTAACCATTTAACTGACTAAAACTCATGAAAGAAGGAAATGAACTGCAGGTTCTTTAACTGAATTAGATTTAATTCAATCTGTATTAGTTTTAGCTTTTAGGAAAAAAAATCCCTATAGTATATTGAATTATTAAATGTATACCCTCATAGGAATATCCAACACATTCATGGATTATTAATTTATTAATTTAAAGGATCACTGTGCTGGTTGCAAAACTGTCATGTCAATCCCAGTTGCTAAACAGATCAAACATAAATAGGTGTGTTTTCAGTATTTTCAGCATTTATGTTTCATCAAATTCTTCAAATCTGAAATTGTGCATCAGTACTGAGATTTAAGTTAGAAAGCTTTATTTAATATTAATTTGCTTTCAGGACCTCGAGACCCAACATATGGCTCTGACAGGTTACCACACCCCTCTACTAATTTAAATAAACCAAAGCCAGAATTAGACTGCACCACATCAGGAACACATTTATCTTTATGGTTAGATATTGTAACGAGATAAATACTATTCACCCAGATTTTCCTTGTGAGCTTTAGCATCTCTGCCACTAAAAATATCCATCTACTAAAAATGCCCATCCAACAGTCCTGATGTGTTAACGGGAAAGCATAATTTGCATGCGTGGCTCTTGAAACATGACCTCCTACCACATAATGGATCCAAGCAACCCTTTTCCGATATTACAAATGGTGATATTTTTGATGATATCTGCAATTTGAGATAAATTGCATACTTGTGTGGCTCTCCCAATCGTCAGAGTGTGCACCTTGAGTAAAAATATAATTTGAGTTAGATAATAATTAAAAACATTTTTTGGTTATTCAGCTAAGAGAAGATTCTTTTTTCCTTCCACGCTAATTTTAAAGCTGCTTCTCATTGGATGTTTAAGGTATAACTATTATCACCATGTGATAATTACTCAGTAAAATTAATTGCGCTTGCATTTCATTTTGACTGTGTTTGCATTAAAAGAAGCCAAATTGAAAAGAAGACTCATTAACTTAATGAAACTCTGTATAAAAGGTATGGATTGGTCTTCATGACCAATATATACTAAAACAGTTGATTGTGCGATTAAATACATTTGCAAACTGAATCCTGTGATTTCTGCACCCTTCACTGATGCCTCTACCATGCCACATACTTTGTGATAGAAGCAGTGCTAGATACTGCAGTAGAATATGAATTAGATTAAAAGTGCACACATTTCATGTAAGATGCAATCAGATGGATTGTTTAGGCTAGACATTGTTGTATAAATGTCTGCTTTTACTCATCAAAGTCATCCATAAAAATAAACCATCTTTGTTTTTAGGCATTCATATGAGAACAGAGCATAAGTAAAGTTTTACAGAAGTGTGAAGTTATTTTAAACGGAAAGGCTGTTGATTAGTTTTGTTTCCAACAAAATATGTGTATGAATTCAGTCCTAAAAGCAGTTATCATACTGCTGTACAAATGTAATAACAAAACCTTAAAAAATGATTGCTGTGTTACAATTGCACTTCTGTACTTCCCTACATGTAACGTTAGGACAAATATTTGCAAGCCGGTCTTGTTTCAAGTGTCACAAAGAATATCTTTGGTGTCCATTCTGGTGAATTTGGAAGTTAGTGTGTTACATAAATATATCTTATGTAAGGTTTTAAATTCCGCTCTACTAGAGAAAAAAAAAATGTAAAAGACAAAAAACAGTCTCAGAGCAGATAAAACATGTTTTTATATATCTAAAAAAGTCAACAGATTAAAACATATTTTTTTTCCTTCCTAGCTCTGTCTAGTGGGTTTGCGTTTCTATGCAGGCTGTTAGAAAGGTGTTTTTTTTTGTTTTGTTTGTTTCTCTGGTTCTCATTGGTCAAAGAATGCTCATCTCCTCCAATGCCCAATGGGATAGTGGCAGATAAATCCTGTTATGTGGAACCTGATTACAGCCTATAATCCATTGCCGTGTGTCTGTGTGTGTGTCCATGCACATGTACAGTACAGTCTCTGTTAGTAGCGACTGCAATAATCCACTGTGCTATAAATAACAAGTTTGATTTTCGTCTAGCAGTGAATCAAACTGACTTTGTGGGTAATTCTGTATAACAGATATGCTTTATGTTTAGGTGTCGCAATCCTGCACAAGCTGCACTAACAATTTCAGATTTTTTTTGCACCTCTGGAAAAGAAAACTTAATATATCATATAATTTGTTATATGTTAAAATAACCACAGAATTATCTTTGCTTGACTATGTATGCATTGTATATTTTTTATACTGCACTTGATCCACTTTGTGGTGCTAATATATCCCCCCAGAGCATTCTCTTTTATGTTATTACAAAAGTGTATTCTGCTCATAATATGTTGCTTTAATGTGACATCAGAGATAAATTGCATATTTGTGTGGCTCTCCCAATCGGAAACAAAAGCATAGGACAAACAAGTCTGCCTAGGACATCAGAGCAAAATAAAAACATTACCTAATGCTCAGTGGCGCCAGAGGTAATGGAAAAGAGCTTAGCCGTTTTTAGATCAGCCGTGACGTGGGTCAACGTGGCGGCTATCGCCGCACCAAGCATTTTTTTCTCTGAGTTTTGCGACTTCATTGCCGTTAAGATTCTTGTTAAGAAGTCCAGAGCTGTGTAAAAGTGTTTATACTTGTTGATCGTTTTTGTTAAATTACTACCACCAACTCACATACATTTTATTGGGATTTTATGTGACAGAGCAACACAACAAAGTTTATAGTTGTAGATGCGGTATGTATTTGGATTAATCCCTTCCTGAGTGAATACTTTTTAGATTTAAGTTTCATTGGATTTACTGCTGCTGCTTTTTGGGTTTGTTTCTACCTTTATTAAATTTTTAAAATAATAGTTTTTTTTGCCCATTCTCTCTTGCAAAATAGTCTTTTGCAGCCTCTTCCTTCTAGGAGCTCCAAGTATCTTCCCATCAACTCAGACCATCTTGTCTGTCCCTGCTAAAGAAAAGCAACTCCTCACCATTATTCTACCGACACCATGCTTCACTGTGTGGTTGGTGTGTTGAGGATGATGTGCAGGGTTCTGTTTTGCATAGAGGCCAACTGTTTGATTTTGGTCTGAGGTGATTTAAGACCTCCTTCTTCTGCATATTGGCTGCACCCCAGACAAACTGCAAACGCTGGTGGGAAACTTGAAACTTTCTTTCAACAACAGCTTTCATCTTGCAACCGGTCTTGGAACGTTTGCAGTTGTATGATCTTTTTTCGTTTTCAGATGATGGATTGAGCCGTACTCCATTAAATAAATGGTCAAAGCTTTGGATATTAATTTCAACTTTTCCACAACTTTATAATCGACTTGTCTGCTGTGTTGCTTGTTAAATATTAACTTTTTCATTTGTTCACTAATGTTTTGGAACAAACCTGTGAGGCAGTGGGCGTGTAACTTGATTTATGCCAAGATTAAATCACAGACACATAGACTATTTACAAATTCTGAAGGTAATTTAGGGATATTGAAGGAAACTGTGCTAAACAGATATGTCTGTTAGACTTCTCAGATGTAAAGGATTTTGAAAGATATGCTTCCACTTCACTCTTTGTTGGTTTTCAACATAAACCCTCCAAAAAAAAAGCACTGTAGATTACAGCCATTTGTAGATACAAGCAACAATCTTTTTGCAATTTCTCTTTTATAGCACGCAATGAGCCTCTCAAGAAAGACCGTCCTAAATGGAAGAGCGAGTACCCAATGACCGAGGGCCAGCTGAGGAGCAAGAGAGACGAGTTTTGGGATACAGCTCCCGCCTTTGATGGACGAAAAGAGATCTGGGATGCGTTGAGAGCAGCAGCCCTGGCTCTGGAGTGCAGTGACCTGGAGCTGGCCCAGGCTATAGTGGATGGAGCCTGCATCACTCTGCCACACGGTATAAAACGCTGACACAATCCGTTTCCTATGTGAAAACATATCGCACATGTCTAAGCTTTAGACGCGCTGGAACGCACTGGTTGAATAGTAATTCTCTCAATGCCGTAGAGCGGTTTGCAGAGTCCAGTGACTGATTTGTAAGAGATTACTGTTGTAATTATGTAATAGTGCTGCGTGACCACTAAAGGCAGATACACCCAGAGCTCTGGGATAAAGCACAGCGTGCTCCCTCAGAGGAGAGTATTTATCTCTAATCTTTGAAGGTTTTTGAGAAGTGGGCGCTTACTTGGGTGTCCTTTCCCCTGCAGGGTCTCTCACGGAGAGCTATGACGAGCTGGGAAACCGCTACCAGCTCCCAGCGTACACCTTAGCGCCACCTGTCAACCTGATCACCGAGACGTCTGGCGAGAGCAAACTGTCTGAAAGTGCACAGAAACAAGTTCAACCTCCACCGTCTAGAGAGGAGTTCCAGCTGCGGGTGCGATTATCAACAGGTAACACCGCCAGATGTTTAAAAGCGGAGATGTTTGTGGACAGCCAAAACATCTGACCTCAGTCACAGCTTAATAAAAAGAAAAATAATGGAAAGCAACTTCAAAATGCTCTCTTTCATTATCCTTGTAGTTAGCAAGCAGAAATTATTTTTGGATAATCATAAATGACCAAAAGCAAGAAGAAATAGAGGGGAAAAAAACTTTTTTTTTTTTTTTTTTTGCATAAAATTGACAATAATTTGGCCTCAACTCTGTCCGGAAGCATTTAAATATCTACAGCACAGCACATTTCTGTTTCAGGGAAGGATGTGCATCTGACGGCCAGCCTGGCGGACTCCATCGCCGTGCTGAAGAAACAGTTGGAGAAACAGGAGGACATCGAGGTGATCCGCCAGCGGTGGTTCTTCTCTGGGAAGCTTCTGACAGACAAGACTCGCCTCCAAGATGCCAAGATCCAAAAGGACTATGTCGTCCAAGTGATCGTCAACATAAATCCTTCGGTCATACCCAACTGAGGGACGGAGGTCAGAAAAGGACGTGCCAGACAAGGCTGCAGAAACAGGAGCAGGTTTCCAGCGGGGAAATTTTATGTACATTTTATATAATAAATTATTGCTTTTATATTGTTCCTTTTTCTATTTTTCCCCTTTTTCCAAATAAAGAGATACTACTGAAAAGCACTGAAACACTTTAGGTGACAATAGCGCCCTGATAAGTACCTCCCAGTGTCTGTCTGTTTCTGAAGACCTCGACTTGCAGCTCTATTGTTTACATGGGTTCCTCTCCTCGTCTTGTTTGTTTGTACTTATGCTTGTTGATGAATTAAATGCAGCTCACCTAAGGAGAACAAGTAAGGAAAATCTACTCTCTTTTTTTTTCTCTTATGACAAATAGATGAGTATTTCTAATTGTAAACATCAGATTATTTTCTTTTCCACTGTGTGAACAGCACATTTTGACTGAATATAGACACTGAATATAATGGAACCTTTTATTAGGTAGAAAGAGATGAACGTATTTGTTTTTAGTTCATCATTTCAAACAACTGTACAAACATGTAATAGCTTTCTGTCTAAAATTATGCACACTGTAATGTCATTTAATAAATGTTATAAATTTAAACTCATCTTTTGCTTTTGGGAATTTATTTCATACTGATTTAATGTTTTCATCTTTCCTTTTTGTCAGTCCAAAAAATGGGAGAAATCTTGGGTCAGGTGACAGTTTGTGTCACAGATCAGTTTTAATACATTGAAAGGGCCATTCTGCCTTGTGCTGAAGAATAAAATACCCTTAAAATGAATATTTCAAGAAAAACAACAACCTCAAAAATATCAATAATTCAGCAACATCTTTGTTTCAGACCAACGTTATTAACATTGTGAAGCCACCAGCCTAATCGCTGCTGGACCTTGGTTAAACCAAAAACTTGCTGGTTGCGATTAAACACAGTGTTTCTGAGGCAAAACCAAGATATTCAGAGAAATTGTGGAATCAATTCCTGCAAAAACCAAGTGGAACTTATTAGTTTGTAAGTTGCCTGTATGGCTATGACACAAATCATAACCGTACAAATAGGACGGAGCGCTGTTTTTTTCCACTGTCGTTTGTAGTGAACAGCGCCATCTACTGGCATACCAACATAACGTCGAGTCGGACTCGCACGCAAACCTGTGACGTCATCCGATGAGCGACGGAGTCATCTGGAGCTCCACAGTCAGCAGTGGAGAAACGTGATTATTTTCGGCCCTGAAAATGGTGAAATCAGGGAAACTTCGGTCGGGCACCGGGGTCAAGTTGAAGCGCTGGAAGAAGGGACACAGCAGCGACTCCAACCCGCAGACCAGCCGCTTCCGACAGGCGGCGAAAAGCCGCTTTTTCAGCAGACCCAGCGGTAAGAGATACACACGTGGGTCTCGGAGAGCTAACATGAGCCACACTAGCCATTTAACTTAGATAGCTTTATCTGTTCCGCTGCTTAGCAAACACTCGGTATCATCCTCTCAGGAATAAATCCCCCTGACCTTTCTGTTCAGTCGGTCTGTAAACTCACTAATCCTAGATGGAGTTTGTAAACACTGAGAAACACATGATTACTTCACTGCTTCAGTTTACAACAGAGAGGCATAGCTGTACATAAGCTACATATATTCATGTATTTTTGCCTTTTTGTCACTTGCCAAATGTGAAAGAATGCCGTTTTAAGACATCAGCCTCTAATATAACCCAGGACTCGCAGGCCAGTCTGGATAAGTATGCAGCTTTATTAAAGTATTTTCTATGTTTGGATAAGCATGAAAAATCAATGGAACAAAAATAGTAATAGTTTCACTTTATCCTGTTTTCTGAATGATGTAATCATAGATTGTTTATCCACCCATTGTTTACCACTCATTCACCAATCCATCTGATTCATCTGTTTATCCATCTATGTACTCTTACGAAGTTGTTTTCTTGCATATTCCATACTTCTTTTTTTATAATGAACCATTATATGTGTGGTGTAAAAAGAGAAAAGAGGAAAATATTAAGCTGTAAAAATGTTAAACTTTCATGGAGAACTTGCGTAGAAACTATGGATATAATTGTCTCAACAAGCCTGTAAACACAATGATAAATAAAATGTTTTATCACATAGTAAATCAGACCCTCTTTGCTCGTTTTGTGGGCAAATGTTGAAGTTTAGTTTGGGAGTGACAGCAATAAAGTGATATCTTTCCGTTTTGTTTTTATTTGCACAGCGAAGAGCGACCTGACTGTTGATGCTCTCAAGCTTCACAATGAGCTGCAGGCTGGGCCCCTGGAGCTTAATGCAGGGGCCCGTAAGGATACCCAAATGGAAGAGGAGCCTGATGAGAGGCTGTCTGAGAGAACGTCGGGCACCTTCCTGAGTGGCCTGTCCGATTGCTCCAACCTCACATTCAGAAAGGTGCAGCGCTTCTGGGAATCCAACTCCGCTGCACATAAGGAGGTAGGACTGCGGGTGTATTGCCTGCCCCCTGCATAGTCTCAGTTTGTAAACTTAGCACGTGCGATATTTTGTAGCGTATCTGCACCTGCTGTAACTGTGTCTCTTGATGTTTGCCAGGTTTGTGCAGTTTTAGCTGCTGTTACTGAAGTGATCCGAAGTCAAGGCGGGAAGGAAACAGAGACGGAATACTTTGCTGCTTTGGTGAGTGTTTCATTGGTTTACATTTTGTTTAAAGTTTATGGTAAAAAAACCCCAAAGCAAAACAACAACAACAAAAAAGCAAGGTTATCCCCTTAGGTTGATTAGCTTTATTTCTAATTAGTCTTGTTTTTGATTTTTGCTAGATGACGACCTTGGAAGTTGTGGAATCGGAAGAATCTCAGGCTGCAGTGGCCTATCTTCTCAACCTTGTCATGAAACGGTAGAAATTAGAAAACCTTTGTCTTTTCCGTGACTGAACATATTATACCTGATTAATACTGACTGCTCAGTGTTTGGGTCTCACCAGCGTTCCAGCTCCAGTGCTGAAGTCCAAGTTCTCGGACACCACCAAGGCTCTCATGGACGTCATGTCTAAACAGGTTTTATCTGATGCATCTTCAGCTCTCAGATGGGTGAGAAGATTTTCCGGCTTGCCTTTGTCTTGCTCTATTTTCACTCTGTTTTTAAACCCAGATTGTTTATTGTGTTTGCATCTATAGATCTTGTCCTGCTTGGCCACTTTGTTGAGGAAGCAAGATGTTTCTGTCTGGAGCTACCCATCTACTCTGCAGGCTTATCATGGTCTGCTCAGCTTCACGGTGCACTGCAAGCCAAAGGTCACTCCCACTAGATTAAATAAGCAGATATCTTATTTACTTTTCATCCAAAAAAAAATACAATTCAAGATTTTTCTAACAAGTGATTGTCTTATTTATTTCCCCCCCCCCAGGTCCGTAAATCGGCTCAGCAAGGCGTTTGCTCCATTCTTCGAGGCAGTGACTTCCTCTTTACTGATGACGCTCCGAATCATCACCCCGCTGCTGTCACTACAGCCAAGTTTTGCATCAAAGAAATAGAGCAGGCAGGAGGTGAGGCATCATGCTTGTTAGTTTACTTAACTGATGTAAGTAAAATGTTCACTTTCTGGTTAAAGGATGGAAGTTTATATCTAGTAATTAGTTAAAATCAGCAAATTTTGTACACAAAGACAGTCAGAAAGTGAATTAAGTAATATAAGGACCTGCATTTAATGTAATTTTGTTGGGACTTTGCACCATAAACCAACACAATGTATTCATAATTGTGATGCAGACTGTAGACAGGAGAAGAGCAAATATACGCCACATTTTAGACACAAACAAATGCTATTATGCTGTATGTAGTTTCCTTAATCCCATTGTGCATTAATGTGACAAAATGCAAACTAGTTCAACTGGTATGAATACTTATGCAAGGGTCTCAACTGGTTATACTGAAGTAAGTTCCTAAATAGCCGCAGAAAGTCTTTGGAAGACCAGGTCCGGTCCAAATGTTTGCTTTTCGAAAGTTGTGGTGATCCAAAGTGAGAACGTCCTCTTTAGCAGTGATATTAAAATGCGTCCGATGATCCATGAATCGATCTTTGGCACCTCATCAGGCAGCAAAGAGGACACCACCACCCTCCATGTGCTCTGCCTCCTGAAGGAGCTGATGGGATCGTTTCCTCTGGGATCCGTTAAGTCCTGCTGCGAAACTCTGCTGCGCGTCATGACTCTGAGCCACGTAGTGAGTTCTCCCAGCCGCAGCTACTTTGGTGCTTCTTTGGACTTTTTTTTTTTTTTTTTTAAAGCAATGCTTCTTCTGTTTGTCTCGACTGTAAGATGGTAACAGCCAGCGCCATGCAGGCGTTTCATCGGCTCTTCACTGTGAAGCCGAATGCGTCGTCCCTCTCCGCAGAACTCAACGCCCAGATTATCACGGTGAGACAAAAAAAAAAAACAACGTGCCCCGTTACTCGTGGCGTAAAATCTGCTAAAGACTCACTCTCGGTTGTCGTCCTCAGGCTCTCTATGACTACCTTCCCAGTGAGAATGATCTGCAGCCTCTGCTGGCCTGGCTTACCGTCATGGAGAAAGCGCATGTTCACCTGGCGAGGTATAGTTGGTCAAGATTGGAGAGCGAGATTGAAAGGACTTTTCTCAGGTGCGTCACTGACCTTCTCTGTGTGTTTCGGTCCAGTTTGCAGAGTTCTCTGAGTTTAGGTCACCTCCCTCGGCTGTTCTCTGCCGCCATGTCCTGCCTGCTGTCGCCGCACACACAGGTGGTCTCTGCAGCCACCAACACACTTAAGGTAACAGGCGCCGAAACTGACTGCAACTAAACCTTTGGGTGTTGTTTTTGCTGGGTGCACGGTGCTAAGTGGTTATGTATGATGTCTTTGTATCTCAGAGTTTGTTGACTGAGTGTGTTGCTCCTCACATGGAGGAAATGGGGATGATCACTGCCACCGCCTCGGCAGGGAACCCCTCATATGTCTGTAAAATGTTTCGGTAAGATCGCAGATATTTTTTTTTTTTTTTCTTTTAACTGTTTTTCCATAAGTCACTACACAACTACTGTCTGTACTTGCATTTTTCCAGCATTGTGGAGGAAGGATTATCCTATCGCTTTCACGCCTCCTGGCCCTTTGTGCTGCAGATCCTTGGTTGCTTTTACAGAGTTGCAGGAAAACAAGCTCACCCCATCATGACTAAGGTATAGCCTTGACATGTTGAAACCCTTACGTGGATAAAGAATAAAATAAAGCGGACTGACACTTCTTCCCTTGCGCCGGGCAGTCCCTGCAGTCCCTGTCAGACCTGCGCTCCATCCCTCAGTTCTCCTTCAGCGGGGAGTTGGACCTGGCTGTGGGAGGCGCTGTGGAAAGCATGGGGCCTGAAGTGGTGCTGGCTGCTGTGCCTCTCAACATCACTGGCTACAAGTACGACGCCAAAACGACAGGATGCTCTGCTGTCTTTACTGTGATTTTATTAACTTTTGCTTGTGTTTTTGTTGTTGTTGTCGTTTTTTTTTTTTTCTTAGTGATGACTTGGAGTTCCCTCGCAGCTGGTTGGTTCCGGTCATCCGAGATCACGTGAAAAACACTCGCCTCGGTTTCTTTGCTTCTTATTTTCTCCCTTTGGCCACAACACTCT